CGTAATAACCTTATTATTATACATCTTTTCCTTCCAAGGATACATCATGGGAATGCCAAAATCCAAAAAATTGGGAACAGAATCAGCGAACTGGTGGCAGCCATGTTTGCTTTTATTAAAAGAAACTTATGCGCGAAAGCATTTCATATTTGGAATTTGCATTTCCTTATATGGTAGGATGAAAATACCCCACAAAATTACGACACTCTGTAACTTATGGCGTTACGGTGACAGATGTATAATAATGCATATAATGCCCATATTATTATAGCACCCAAATCTTTGACAACGTCATGCTCAAGAGCCCTGCACATTATTGCCCTGCTCAGTTCACTGAGTCAAACCTATCTGCCATCTCAACTCTCCAATGCACACGTGTGTTAGATGCCTAACATTTCATAAGTGGTTCCTATTTCTTCATGGGTAGAGAGAGGCAGTAGGAGTAAAGTATCTTGTCCAAGGATACAACACCATGGTATAGTCAAGACTAGAACTCACAACCCTGTGAATGCCAGTCTAGAGCGATAACCATTACGCCATGGCGCCTCGTTGTCATATAATATTTATTTTATAAGGTTGTTATTATAATAAAGTATTATACATCTGTCACCGCACCAGCGTGCCGTAATTTTGCGGTATTTTACAGGGTATTTTCATCCTACCATATAAGGAAAATGGGAATTCCAATATGGAATGATTCCGTGAGAAAGTGTTTTTGATTTCGGCATTCGCATGATGTATCCTTGGAAGGAAAAGATGTATAATAATAAGGTTTCTATGAGGATACCTCAAACTATGCACTTAGTCAGTACGCCGCGCATCAACCTACGCTGTGCGTCGGTCGATACACTTGCTGAACTGTCTTTGTGTATACTTTGAGGTATCCTTGTAATAACCTCATAGTATACAAACAATATAATACTTTTAATGCATTCATGAGATATCCACACACTGTTATGTAAATTATGCACATATTAATGAAATCATGCTATGCTCTACCAAGTAAGTTAGTTTATTCGTCAATGACTGGCCAATAGATAGAATTGTGATTAGCGTACCAATATATGCATAATAATATGTAATTAAATATTCTTTCTAATCTCACCTCTTCTTCTGTACTCCATTCTGAGTCTGTGTTTTCACTCTGTCCAGTAATACTGAAATATCCTTGAGAGTGTCTGTTTTTTTGCTCCATGCTTTGTTTTATCTTTACTGAATCAGATGTATCGTCGGCAAGAATAGAACTTTCCACTGTTGACAGTGCATATCTTTCATCATACTCACATTTATCAAGTGGGTTCACTGTCAAATGGAAATCATGGAAATAAAATCGATAAGAAACTGAAATTAATTCTTCTATAATTGTCAACAAGTCATTGTTAATGACACAATCCCTGCCCAAAATTTTGTGATCTGACATATGAATTTGATGCTGATGAAGTCATTGAGATTAGATTGAAACCATTAATAGGAGATGGATTTGTAAAAAATTATGATTTAGTGCTTTTACACAAGAATTGGACATTGGGCAGTCATATTGAATCAAATTACAAAAATAATGTTCATGTTGATGAATCTATTGGTATACTGTCTTTGTACAAAATTTAAACCGAAATGTTTATTGCATTCAAGAGAAAGTAGCATGGGCACCATGAAAAACAAAATGGCCACCAGTCAGTCATATTAGATAAAAATATGACATGCAACTATAACCCAATATGTATGATCATCATACCAAGTTTGATTCAAATAGGCTTTTGATTCAAATAGGCTCAGTCATCTCTGAGAAACAGCTCCGAACGTGTAAAAATGACGATTTAGCACTTTTACATGAAAATTGGCCAGCCATATTGAATTGAATCACAAAAATCATGTTGGTGCAGATGTATCTCTTGGTATACTATATTTGTACAAAATTTAAACAGAAACGTTCATTGCATTCAAGATAAAGTAGCATGGGTACCATGAAAAACAAGATGGTCGTACATACGTACGTGAAGACGGACGGAACGAACCAAATTAATAGGACTAAAAAGGACAGATAGGTATTTGTAGTGTCATGCTCAAAGATAAACATGATGGTCACAGCCTGAATGCCTAATTATATTCTTGCAATTTGGGACAGTTTATTTAGATGGTGTATTTAGATCTATTTGCAGAATAAAAAAAAGTTATAAATTTTCTGGAGAGGTTGATCATTTTACAAAGATCAATCAAATATATTTTGAAGAGATCTTGATCTTAATGTTCATTGGTTAGTAAAATCATATAATTGAATTACATATGAATAATTAAATTTTTGATATTGACATTATCAAGACATGCATGGGATAGCTTTTCTGGTATGACACTTTAATCACTGATCACTGTAGGTCATAACATGTGGAAAGAAGGAAAATAATTAAGAGTGCAATAGAAGAGAGGTAAATATACTCACCAGCTAGTCCAACATCCGAACCTGCAAAACATTCACTTAATCTTGATGCCTGTTCATAATCATAAGCTTGTATTAACTGATGTGATATTTCAACATCCACTCCCCCAGGATCTACAAAGGGTGGACCTGTTATCATGTATTCTATCTCTTCATCTTCTGTTGAAATTTATACAAACATATTTATGGTCATAAAGTAACATAAAATTATGGAGTACACATGGTTTGTCAGTTCAAATGACAAATTGATTTGATCACACGTGTCAAAAGCATATTTTAAAATACATCTATAAGACTGTAGTTAGAAAGTAATGTCCGAAACAACATACTATGATCTGAAAACAGTACTGTAACAGAAACAAAATGTAAAATAATATAAAAATGCGGACCCGACCCACCTTCAGTTAAACTTTTAACAAAGATTGGTTTATCATCACTGACAATGCCCGATGTAGTGTTTGAACTTCCAGTACTTATAACTGAATTCCTCTGTCGTTCATTTTCTGTCCGTTGATTGGCTAATAACATTTGATCTAATTCCCATTCCAAATCACCACTGATATAAGACTCTCTGTATTTCTTTTTATCATTGGCTTCATCAATCTTCTTAAGTCTGTCAACAAGTACTTGTGTATGTACTTGGAAGGTATGAGTCAGTCTGCTCAGGTGCAATAGACTCTTTGCTCTACAAATATAGAATGGAATGATGAAATCTGCCACATCATCAATATATAATACATGGTAATATTATCAATACCTGATATTGACATGTTCCACTGTCAAAAAACCCAAATATAATACAAATTTGTTTGGAAATGATAATTATTAACTTCATGATTACCTAGAGTCATTACTGCAATGAAATACAAGTTTTCGGGACTCAGGAACCCCTTCAGCTTGGATTTCAAACTTCTTTTTCTGCTAAACATTCTAGTAATTGGTATTATAATTACTTTTTCTGCAAATAAACATTCAGAATATTGTAATTGGTATTATAATTACTTTTTCTGCAAATAAACATTCAGAATATTGTAATTGGTATTATAATTACTTTTTCTGCAAATAAACATTCAGAATATTGTAATTGGTATTATAATTACTTTTTCTGCAAATAAACATTCAGAATATTGTAATTGGTATTATAATTACTTTTTTTTTTAAATTGTACCTCACAATTGCATATGTTGAATAATAAATACTCAAATGAAATTACTATAAGTTGTCCTTACCACAAAGTGTAATTTTCTTATGGAGTTCCAATGATATTCATATTTCAGGTATTTGGTACCACCTACATCCTGGTGAGAATCAAAACATAGAGAACAGGTTATGACATGACATGACGATGTAAGAATATATATATTGTAGTGCATGTTGGTATACAGGTAATAGTGGCGCAGAGAGAGTTACAATCCAGATTTAAATCTTTTGTTTCAAGCTTTATCATTATTGTCATTGTCGCCATGCGATTAAAACAAGTTGGGTCAAACCAACTTCAATAGGAGATGTCGTAATAGTGACGGACTGAGACACATCCAAATATAAATAGAAGATCGCGATGCGAGTAGTTTTCAATATATTTTATTCGATCGTATACATTTCTTTATAATAAATGGCAAAGTTATGTATTTACACAGTGAAATGTCTGTCCACAGGCGATGATGTGTCTGGTGCATGTCATTTTAGTTGAACGACGCACCCTTGTAAGTGGTTTGAAGTAACCAGTTCTAATCATGTATCAATCTTGAGACACGCATAACAAACCAGTCAGCAACTTAGTTGGCAATGTAGATGTTTTGGTGTTCAGAACAATATGGCGGTAACAGTAAGAAATATGGTTATTTTGAGTCAACACTATATTTACGGTCTGGGGGTGCGTTGATAACATAATTACTAACATGGCCATTTCACAATCTGTGACGAATTCACACTAGACTTTGTTGAGAAGTTGAGGTTTGGAGAATTTTAAATGAGGTCTTATATATAACTATATATATAACTTCTGAACTGATAAAAAAATAAAATAAAACTCAACCTTTGACCTAAGCAGTCCTGCTCAACGTAGCTCATTACTTTATTGTCATTTTACAATAAACAACTGTAGTTTTGTGAATCTAGTTGGTTTTCTTAAAAGGCAGTGGTAATTTAGCATATACAGTATAAAGATATTATTTTGATTTTCACTAATAGATTTATTTAATTACCTACCTCATAATATATTTGTAGTCCTTTTGTACAAACACCTATAAGAACGTATGGCATACTGTCAGACTTGTTCTGTAAAAAAGCAAATTTTAGTTACATAATTGCCAGAAATAAATCCTGGTACATGTAGTTTAGATATTCAATTAGGAGTACACAAAGAGACAAATAACATGTCACCCAGAATATCTCTGATGTCATGTCTGTTGATTTACAAAATTCAGAATTTAATAGTGCTATCAGCAATCAGACTCTGGTAGTTTTCAGGAAGGATTCCATAATAAAAAATAAAAATTTAAAGAAATGAAGTTAGCATCACTAAATAAACAAATCCAATAAAGGTCCACCAAAGATACCTACAAGTCAAGAATCAAGCAATTATGACAATCAGTTATACCATGATCTTGTTCCACAATCATGAATAGCAAAGCTAACAGAATTGGTCAATGTGTGGCAGAGAAATCAGAGCATAAAACAAGCAGCCTCTCGGCTGAGATAGCTCCGCTGTTATCATTAGAAAATGAACAATATGTAGACTTGCTGTTTTTAACAAGAATTCAAAAATATCACTTTTCACCAAAAATGACAAAAATAATCATTAAAATTAGATAATTGAAGATATCACCACGAAATTAACAATCTGAAAGAGGTCCACATGTAGTACCTATATATGTAATACAAGCAGCCTGTCGGCTGAGATAGCTCTGCTGTTAGCAATGCACATGGCAATTAA